TGTGTTGCAATAAAACAGCCTTGCTTATTATAGCATGTGAAATATGATCCTTGATATACAGCTTAGCCCTCTGAGATACTTATTATTACGGACTTCATTATGACCAGCTTTCCTCCCTTATAACCCAATCTTGGCATCATCCCAGGCCAAGAATATAAGTGTGCATTGAACAAAGAGTACCAATAAAGCATCTTCTAATTCTTTATACTGCCCCATTCACATCTATTAGTCATTTAATGGACTGACTGTTATCATTTTGAGGTTCTTCCCTTTGGAAGGGGAAAAGCAGAAAGAGATCATCCATATTGTCTCAGCAATGGAAACAGATGTTAAAGAATTATCACGAAATAGCCAAGACAAAAAAAAAAACACAGATTATAGAGAGCAATGAAACCCCCTCTTCTCCCCCCCCCACACACGCACAATACACACAACTGTAGCAAACACAGTTAAATCAGGATGACTATGGTATACTATGATTCAAAACAGGATTGTAGCCAAATTTGACATCTTCACAATGTAACAAGGGTATCAAAGACTAATTGCAACTGTCATTTTAAAAAAAGACATTTTTTCTGTGCTGGATTGTCTGGAAGCTAAAATTAATCCTGTTATTTCAACAAACCTGGACAAGAAACATTTTAGAGAAGATTTGAACCTGACATATTGTCTCATCATTTTATGGAGATGCTCTTTATTTCTCTTATCACCACCTTCCCCACTCACCTTCAGATAATACATTGGCCGGTTCTCATATGTCATTCCTAGGTAATGCTGTGTCACGAGCTCACTGTTGCTCTCCTTTATCCGGTACATCCAGTGATAAATCTGAAATAGTCATGGGGAATTGTTCTTTTAGGGAGTTCCCTTCACTTTCTCCACCATTTCCAGATAGCAAATGTTTGTTGTTTCTTAGAGACACAGTTTATGCCTCTGAGCATATTGCAGGCTACGATATTACTTAGTGCTGTTCCAGACCAAATAGTGGAGGAAGAAATTTCGCTTACATTAAATTAAATACAAAGTAATACAATGCATAGGTGAGCATCCAAAGTCAGAGTCATGGCAGGATAACAATAGAACAGCCTAGGATTCCTTCAAGACTCCATTCAAGGTTCCAAACCCACTGGGAGCCTTTCTGATGACTTTATTGGGATTTGGATGTTGCAGTCAAATCCTAAAACTATTAAAGGGCTGATCCATTAGTCAGATGATTATTAGTATTTCCACATATCAGTTCAGGAGCAATTCCCAAAGCAAAATTATACAGATGCTTACAGTAAACACATCATATGCCTGAAAAGGAAGTACCACAAAGCTCTCTCTTTCTGTGTATTCTCTAAAGCAACTGTGAAAAATATAAATGAGAACAACAATTCAGGTATCTCTCCTCTCTCCTCTCTCACCACATTCAAGTCTCTTCTTCCATGGAAGGGAACACAACCAAAATGAAAAAAAAAATCTAGTTATTCCTTCCTCTGACCTTCCCAAGGCATCTCATCTTCTCCATTTCTTCCTGTTATATTGTGAGCTCACTGGTATGGTCATCATTTCATGTCTTGGTCAGTGCTGAGCACAATGCTTACATAAATAACAGTGACAAGCCATTATAAGTGATTATTCAAACACTCAATTATTCAAACACTATGGACTAAAAGTAGCAAAAAATGGGTTGAAGCATAAAAATGCTACCTGGGGAAAGATCATGTTCAACAAGGGAATAAAAGAGTCCACAGCAGGACAGTAGCTAAATGCATGAGTTCTTCACAAAGACTATTTACATTTTGAAGATTAAGAAACAAAGGGTGAAATTCTGGCTCGAGTGATGTCAAAAAGAAAACTACCATTAAATTCAATAGGCCAGGATTTCATGCACAAATATTAAAGAAAGCCTGCTCCTGTAATGAGCTTCAAGCAGGCAGACTGCTAAGCCTGCATGGAGCCACACTGACTTCAGTGGAGTTCTCTGCAAACACGGGAACACTTGCATAGAACTCATTGCAGGAGTAAAACTTAAAATGATAGACTTGGTTTCCGTCTTACCTCCTCCATTGGATGATATACCGTATAGGAATAGCCCTCTGGAACCTTCCCTTGGCCCTCCCTTGGCATGCTACTGTCCAACTGTTCTTGTACATCATGTATTAGGACCCTGAAGAAAAACAAAAGAAAGATTAAAGTTCCCAAAGCAACAAGTAACTGAAGAATGACTTTGGCAACATCCTTAAATCAAAAACATGGCCTTTACAACATGGTCTACATTAAGCATCTTGATTATCTGACCATCAGATACAGCTATAATAATAATTGTATTAGAACGGGTTATGTGTTCTCAATATCGTGATTTTTAAAATTTTATTTAAAAGTTCACTCTTACTCTCCTGTCCCCAAACAGCCCCAAAGATGTTCGTGACTTTCCTCACCAGCTAAAGCACCAGTTAAATTTTTTCAAAATATCAAAAAATATTTGAAAGTTTGTCATTTTGAAAGAAAACAGCAAAAATGTTCAAAATATTTCACACTTTTAAAAATTGGGAAGACTTCCCCATGGTGCTTTATTTATAGATTTGCAATTATCATCTTTGTCCTGGAAAATAGATATCCCAGTGTCATAGCCACAAATTAATTCTGAATCTGTTGCATCATGGGCCTGCTTTGGTCATTGATGAAGTAAATGAAAGGCATCTATTAGCACCTGTGGACTTTGGATCAGGCCCTGTGCTGTTTAAGCAGAATTCTTCAGAAGACAGCATAGCCATGTGCAACACTGTTATAAATTTGTGCTTAAAGTAAGTGCTGAGAATAAGACAACTGCAAAAGTAGTACAAGATCACATATTGATGTCTTGCATTGAGAGCACTGGTAGGGTAACCTGCTGCCTTGACCATTGTCAATCTCTGTAACTTTTGAGGGTGCTTTTCACTGAGTTTCAATGTGAGATTTTTAGCTCTCTTGCCACTGTGGCTCAGGGTGAAATGTAAGCTGTACAAACTCACAAGAACTGACACCAAAAGTCTCAGAGCCCCTGTGAACTGAAATCTTTGAATGTAATGCTTGAATATTTAATTATTCTAATATAATACACCAGTTATGTCTCCATCATTGTGCAGCTCCAGTTGTCATACTGCCTTCCTTTTATGCCACCCACCTTCTTAGAGGGGCTTCTCAGAATCTGCATACAGAAATTAACTATCATTCTGGGGTTTTTTTCACCTCTGTAGGATAGAGAACCAAATTTTCAGTCTCTTTCCTCTTGGCCTCTCTCACAAAATAGAGGCGCAAATCATTATAAGTGCAAATAGAGCCCAGTTTTAGAAAATCTGGTCCATAATACTATTTCAATTAGACTATGAACACCTATCCCAGATGCGCTATAATTTATACACTGGCATCTCTATCCTAGATCTTTCCACCTGTTTTTAATAGGGCATTAACATCATTTACTTATTAAAGATAATTAATCAGGCAGGATATCAGTTATCAGCTTGAACTTTTTTTTTTAAGCTTATCATAGCTTCAAAGAGGACCTTAATCTTTTTTCATTGTATCTCTTATTAGTGAATGTCACTCATGATGGGCTGTATTCATTATGCCTGTTGGTCATTTGCCATCCTAGCGCTGGTTGGCTGCAGAACCATAATTTTCCTATGCAACATACTGGCTGGTGGGTTGGGTTTTACAGTTTATATGAAGCGTGTGATAGTCTGGGAACTGTATCTTTGTCTAGTTTTATGGGCACTAGGTAACAGTCATTGCAATTAGGGGTATGCTACACTGCAGTTAGACAACTGAAACTGATCATTCCCGCAGACTGGGCCTCATGGGCCAGTGAAGCTGTTTAATTGCGGTATAGAAGTACTTTAAATCGGGGTAAGGAACCCAGCTTGCCTGGATTTGGCCCCCAGAGGCTCAGGGCTCCCCCACTAGCATTGGGGAAGCTGCACTGGCACCCCAGCCTCCCTCCAGTGCCATCCCCTTCTCCCGTAGGGCTGGAGCACCTAAATCTACGAGCCTGGGTAGGGCCGGCCTTAAGGAAAATGGCATTCTGGGCAAACTTGCATATTGGTGCCCCTACCCCCCTACCGTGGCCATGGTTTTAAGGAAAATGGCACTCTGGGCAAACTTGCATTTTGGTGCCCCTACCCCCCTTACCGTGGGCATGGTGCCCGCCCCCATTCCTCTTGGAAGCTGCTCAGTCCCTTGCTCCCTGTGTGCAAGGCTATTGTCGCTCCCTCTTGCAAAAGGAACTGTCACAGTCCTTCTTGGCTAAGCCCGTCCTTTAAGAGCTACTTGGGGAATGGAGTATTTTAGATAAAATATTTTCCCCCAGATATGACACACAGACAGCAGGTGCTGCTTGTGAATGGCATAAGATTGTGAAATGAAACAGTGGGTGAAAAACCTGAATGGGCCACTCGCCCTTCAGTGGGTTCTTCCTCCACAGTCCGAGCTGCTCTGCACAAGCCATGGCATCTCCCTTGCTGCACAGCACTTGCCCTTTATGAAATTCTGGCTCGAGTGATGTCAAAAAGAAAACTACCATTAAATTCAATAGGCCAGGATTTCATGCACAAATATTAAAGAAAGCCTGCTCCTGTAATGAGCTTCAAGCAGGCAGACTGCTAAGCCTGCATGGAGCCACACTGACTTCAGTGGAGTTCTCTGCAAACACGGGAACACTTGCATAGAACTCATTGCAGGAGTAAAACTTAAAATGATAGACTTGGTTTCCGTCTTACCTCCTCCATTGGATGATATACCGTATAGGAATAGCCCTCTGGAACCTTCCCTTGGCCCTCCCTTGGCATGCTACTGTCCAACTGTTCTTGTACATCATGTATTAGGACCCTGAAGAAAAACAAAAGAAAGATTAAAGTTCCCAAAGCAACAAGTAACTGAAGAATGACTTTGGCAACATCCTTAAATCAAAAACATGGCCTTTACAACATGGTCTACATTAAGCATCTTGATTATCTGACCATCAGATACAGCTATAATAATAATTGTATTAGAACGGGTTATGTGTTCTCAATATCGTGATTTTTAAAATTTTATTTAAAAGTTCACTCTTACTCTCCTGTCCCCAAACAGCCCCAAAGATGTTCGTGACTTTCCTCACCAGCTAAAGCACCAGTTAAATTTTTTCAAAATATCAAAAAATATTTGAAAGTTTGTCATTTTGAAAGAAAACAGCAAAAATGTTCAAAATATTTCACACTTTTAAAAATTGGGAAGACTTCCCCATGGTGCTTTATTTATAGATTTGCAATTATCATCTTTGTCCTGGAAAATAGATATCCCAGTGTCATAGCCACAAATTAATTCTGAATCTGTTGCATCATGGGCCTGCTTTGGTCATTGATGAAGTAAATGAAAGGCATCTATTAGCACCTGTGGACTTTGGATCAGGCCCTGTGCTGTTTAAGCAGAATTCTTCAGAAGACAGCATAGCCATGTGCAACACTGTTATAAATTTGTGCTTAAAGTAAGTGCTGAGAATAAGACAACTGCAAAAGTAGTACAAGATCACATATTGATGTCTTGCATTGAGAGCACTGGTAGGGTAACCTGCTGCCTTGACCATTGTCAATCTCTGTAACTTTTGAGGGTGCTTTTCACTGAGTTTCAATGTGAGATTTTTAGCTCTCTTGCCACTGTGGCTCAGGGTGAAATGTAAGCTGTACAAACTCACAAGAACTGACACCAAAAGTCTCAGAGCCCCTGTGAACTGAAATCTTTGAATGTAATGCTTGAATATTTAATTATTCTAATATAATACACCAGTTATGTCTCCATCATTGTGCAGCTCCAGTTGTCATACTGCCTTCCTTTTATGCCACCCACCTTCTTAGAGGGGCTTCTCAGAATCTGCATACAGAAATTAACTATCATTCTGGGGTTTTTTTCACCTCTATAGGATAGAGAACCAAATTTTCAGTCTCTTTCCTCTTGGCCTCTCTCACAAAATAGAGGCGCAAATCATTATAAGTGCAAATAGAGCCCAGTTTTAGAAAATCTGGTCCATAATACTATTTCAATTAGACTATGAACACCTATCCCAGATGCGCTATAATTTATACACTGGCATCTCTATCCTAGATCTTTCCACCTGTTTTTAATAGGGCATTAACATCATTTACTTATTAAAGATAATTAATCAGGCAGGATATCAGTTATCAGCTTGAACTTTTTTTTTTAAGCTTATCATAGCTTCAAAGAGGACCTTAATCTTTTTTCATTGTATCTCTTATTAGTGAATGTCACTCATGATGGGCTGTATTCATTATGCCTGTTGGTCATTTGCCATCCTAGCGCTGGTTGGCTGCAGAACCATAATTTTCCTATGCAACATACTGGCTGGTGGGTTGGGTTTTACAGTTTATATGAAGCGTGTGATAGTCTGGGAACTGTATCTTTGTCTAGTTTTATGGGCACTAGGTAACAGTCATTGCAATTAGGGGTATGCTACACTGCAGTTAGACAACTGAAACTGATCATTCCCGCAGACTGGGCCTCATGGGCCAGTGAAGCTGTTTAATTGCGGTATAGAAGTACTTTAAATCGGGGTAAGGAACCCAGCTTGCCTGGATTTGGCCCCCAGAGGCTCAGGGCTCCCCCACTAGCATTGGGGAAGCTGCACTGGCACCCCAGCCTCCCTCCAGTGCCATCCCCTTCTCCCGTAGGGCTGGAGCACCTAAATCTACGAGCCTGGGTAGGGCCGGCCTTAAGGAAAATGGCACTCTGGGCAAACTTGCATTTTGGTGCCCCTACCCCCCTTACCGTGGGCATGGTGCCCGCCCCCATTCCTCTTGGAAGCTGCTCAGTCCCTTGCTCCCTGTGTGCAAGGCTATTGTCGCTCCCTCTTGCAAAAGGAACTGTCACAGTCCTTCTTGGCTAAGCCCGTCCTTTAAGAGCTACTTGGGGAATGGAGTATTTTAGATAAAATATTTTCCCCCAGATATGACACACAGACAGCAGGTGCTGCTTGTGAATGGCATAAGATTGTGAAATGAAACAGTGGGTGAAAAACCTGAATGGGCCACTCGCCCTTCAGTGGGTTCTTCCTCCACAGTCCGAGCTGCTCTGCACAAGCCATGGCATCTCCTTTGCTGCACAGCACT